TCCCTCCACGAAATAATGCTTGAAGAGTAACTAGAACTACCGCAAGATAGCGCTTGAAAATTTAACAATACCAAACATCAATAGCCCTTGGTAACTTATGAGTACCCCCAAAGCATAGGCCGTGAGGTCTTATGAGTATCCCATTCAAGAAGAAATAGGAATATTTGAAGTGGTTGACGAAGGTACCTGTGATACGGGAGTACGATGGGAGTACGGGAGTACGTGTTTTCCCCCTTGTATCTTCAGCACCATATTGGATACAGCCTTCAATCGGAAAATTCACACAATCGTCCGTCAGATCAATTGACCCACTGTGTTCTTCGGCATACCTTCGAGCTCTTTTCAACTGGCAGACACCTGAAAAGACGAAAGATGGTAGTACATTTTTAGCAGAAAAAAACTTATACTTATAGTTAGAGATCTAAGGTCATTCATAGACAAGACAGGAAATGGTTCAGGTAAATCGTGAATATCGATCGACTGCCAAACGTTATGTCGTTGTAAATTATCTTGGATCAGCCGTTCTTGCAAGATGTTACTTTGCGTTAGCAGTGAATTCATATGTCGAACTGTTTCATCGTCGTCTGGTGAAGCTGCTACTAGGGGCAAGTGAAAGCAGTTGGTAAGTGCTGCCACGATGGCCACATAATCAGAGACGGACGGTAATGATGAATTTTGAATGGTTTGACTGAACCATTTGAATCTTTTAAGTCGTGCATTAACACTTTCAACTACCCACCGAAGCTTCGTAACAAAACGAGATCGATTGGCATCATATACGTCGAATTGTCGTCGACCTGTACCGAGAAACGATGGCATGGCAGCATCTATTCCAAGAGCTTTCAGTACACCAAGAGAATCACGAAAGCCTCTATCTAGGATCATGATGTCATTCTCTTGGATCCAGTTGAGAATATCTTCGTATTTGTTAAGCATAACATGTTTCAGAATTGAAGCATGATTATAATGAAAATCGGAGTAGAATGGTCCGAAAATTGTCAGAGTATATCCAGTTGTTGTTGTCATGACCATGGGTTTAATCAACGACCGCTTCTTCTGCAGATTGAATGTCTTACGCTGAACAGGATTATTTCGACTCTTCTACTTTTTTCAAAAGAGAATGTTAGATTTAAAATATTTTCTGTGCATCCTACCTGTATATATAGGTACGTTCCATCAAGTACAAGTATACACGGGCCTCGGCCTTCAGTTAGTAAGCGGCTATCGATTGGTGACGTATGTTTGTCAATAACATATTGTCGTGTTATGTGAGCTAAACCCAAATAACACGGTACGAAGTGTTGAGTGAGTGCCACTCTAACACTAGAGATGATGCAACCCATTTGCCGTTTACTGTCTACACCTACCATTGAAGCCAAGACCGAATTGCTCAAGCCCAGCTTCAATTTCATCAAGAGATATCCCAAAGCAGATCGCATCGATCGGGTCGTTGAGTTCTTCATAGCACCTGAAAGTATGTGTGACAAGATCTGAGTATGCTGAGCACGAGTAAATCCGGTTAGTTTGACGTAATCAGCATCTGTTAAGGACATGCATTCATCGAAATCAAGGTGCTTCTTACAGTTGAGTCGTGAACGATACGTTTGAAGGACGTTGTGGAGAGAAAAGCTTCAGACAACAGACGTTTATCTACAATATGTTTCTTGCAGCATCGAGATCCTGAAAGTATTTCGATGTGACGTCGGATGAACAGTTCGTTGCGATCTTCTTCACGAATAGTTACAATTGAAGGCATCATTTGCTCTTTGCAAACACAACACTGGCTATAACACGAAAATTAGTCAATTGCTAATATTTGAAAGAATTACCTTCTGGAAGAGATTGCAACTTCAATTGGAATTTCAACGCCTCGTCGATTTAGGTTGTCACCTGAGCCCGTTGTGTCCATCTTTAAATTAAAATTACATAAAGGTAAGGTACATAGAAATGAACTTACTACTTCATTATCTTCGACCGCAGTTACTTCTTCATCTTCCACTTGAATGCCATTGTCGGCAGAATCATCAAAAGAATCATCATCACTGGATGATGAATCTGCCTTATTAACAGTATCAGATCTGCCATCCGTTGAATCCGTCTCAACAGATGCGTCATCCATAGGATCATCACTGCTGCTTTCTGCATCCATACACACTTCTGTTTCTCCATCTTCGTCGCTGGTCTTGTCAATAACCATACCTTCTGTTTCATGATTATTGTCGATCGTTCTTAATATATTGCAAAATTCTGGCAGAGCTATCCACTTATTACACATTATACGACACTTTGTACAGATATAAGCATCCGCCGACAGAGATGTTGGAAACAAACGGGTCGCCACGAAAAGTTCAATGCATTGTCCGATTAGACGACGTCGACTGCGAGCAGTTACCCGACCAGCACAACAAGCACACACATAATATTTGTTCGAATTCATTTTTTGTGAAATGAAATACCAATCCACGTAATCTACCCAATATATATGTCACAGGCAAACTTGAATTTTAGGCAAAATTGGTTTTTTTAGGTGCTTCTGTTAATTTCAATTTTGCCTAGACAGAATTCGTTAGCTTTTTATATCTCAATTTTATATTATTTGATAACCAAAATTTTTCATTTTTATAATCAAAATTCATTTAACGCTCAATAGCTTTCAATATCTTGTTTTTGTAATATCAACAACGCCATTACAAGAAGTAAGCTTTTCTCACCATAATATTAATGGTTTTGCACTTGAAAAAGTTTCTGAACTCGCTAAAAAACATATTGATGCATTAAATCCTAAATTTCGTAATAAAACTCTTGTCACTCGTGATCGAAGCAAAAAAATTATCAGTGTAGTTCAGAGCAAGTTATCTACTGAAAAGGTTTCAGGATATTTTTTCTGCTGGTGTAAACAAACATTCACGCTTTGTCTCATCGGTAGTCATCAACTTTTATGTGACTTTAAAGAAGTGAAACCTGTTCTCTTATATCAGAATATGTACGATATCTGTCAGACAAGCCGTCATCAGACTGCTCATGATGGTCGAGAAAAATGTCTCGAATATATTGCAACAAATTACAGCTGGACAAATTGCTCATCATTAGAAATATTTATCGCACAATGCTCATTATGTGAAACTCGAAAAACAGTTTATCTGTATTATATCAACATTATTAATTGTTTTCAAACCCCCCAAACCCTTGCTCGAATCGGTCACAACACATGCTAATAATGTCTATGAAATTTAAAATAATGTTTACAAAAAAAAGGGAAACTTCGAAAATGTACTCAAATACTCTAAACAGCTTTTTATTGAATATATCGATTAGTAAGAGGCGAACTGCCGTTGACAAATATCTTGATAATATATAATGTCAGAAAACTTTTAGATAATCTTTTTTATATATAAAAACAGATAAAATAGGTTTTGAACCAGGCTGAGGTCATTTTTTTAATCAATTATTCTACCATAATAATTAATTAATTGATCAATAAAAACAAAATGATTTAAAACAGAAAAACTTAGAAGAAAATAGTCCAAACACATTATAGACGCTGTCAATAAAAAGCTTCTTAATCATTCAAGTTCAATCAACCATCCACTGTTCCTCTGATGAAAAACACAAACAAATTTATTCAACTAAAAACAGGCTACGTAATAACCCAGGTCGATCATTCCGGCCACCGGATACTGCAGGATCCGGTAGGAAAATGCGGGAAAAATCACCGTATCCTGCAGGAAAACACGGGAAATACCGGGAAGTGGAGGCAGTATTCCGACCGGAAATTTTCGGAATTTTTTCCGATGATTTCCCGGTCAGTTCCTGCCGGAAAATACAGGAAATTGGTCAGAATTCACCGGAAAAAATCCGAAAAATTTCCGGCTGGAATACTGCCTCCATGTTCCGGCGATTTCCGGTGTTTTCCTGTCGGAACAGGCCCGTACTTTTCGACCTGGGATAGGCATTACTTACTTCAAAATGTTTCTAAGTGTCTGGTGAAAACTTTATTCAACAATCCGATGACAAACAACTATAGGGAATCTAAATTCCATAAAAGAGTTGAAAACCTGCACTCGAACGTTTATAGTTTGTTATTTGCGGATGGTTTTAATTTATAAACTGATAGTGATGATAATACCAAGGCAGTACTTAACCTGATATTTAAGGAAAAACAGAGTTTCGGTCTTGAAACTATTATAGGAGGCCATTTAACATTTGCTTGTACTTTTTGTACGCATCTATCTGTCTCCGACATTATCGATGATACTTTCGAGCATAAAACTTGTCTTAGTTGCTGTATCATGCTTCATCGTAGTGGTATTCATAGTCAAGATTCAACTACAATTGATGAAGCTGATATATTTTTGAATTGCCACAGGGTCCTCCATGAAGTGTTGCAAGTCAGCTTAGACTCGGCGATAAAAAAAACAGAATAGCATTCTATAGATTACTCATCATAGCAATCTTCAGACAACGGATAAGTGCTGACTATGAGGAAGTTTAGGAAAAGACAGAATTCACATCCACACCATCACCCCCGATTAATCGAATGATGCACAAAGATTTCGATGAGCGTGCGGATGTGTTGCTTTAAAACCCAAAGCATCTACCGCTCACTCAAAATGTATAGACAAAGAAGCGAGAAAATAAACCAATCAAAGAAATGGGGTGCGTGTTCAACTCATCTGAAACCACAACGACACAATATAGTCTGATTACACCATTGAAAAGAGCTGTCCGAGCTGCATCCGGCTCACAATATACCTGAGTTGGCTGACTGGCTGGGACAAATTGTCTTGGGAAAAACTTGAATCAACAGCTAACTTCCCTCACATAATCAGATGATGCTACTGTTTTATTAGTGTAAGCCAAAATCACGTCAATCAGAATAAATTATGGGGACAAATTAAATGTTCAGTAAAATTTGTTCAGTATTATATACAAATTTTCGGTAAAGAAATCAAACTATCAGTATAAAATTTAATGTTCGGTAACTATTACATTTGCTCAGTAAATTAATAAATTCCTCAGTATTAAAATTAAAGTTCCAGTAATTAATTCAGTTTGCTGATTCAAAAATTCATTTACTCAGTAACAAGTAGTATTTTTATCAGTAATCACTTTTATTTCGATGAAAATATTTGGATGTAAATAGAAGAACATTTATTTACATTGACTGATGATGACATTATCAGTCAAAAGATGCTATGTTACATAGTATCCCTCGATAATCGTATACATATGTTGTCTTACTTATTGATGTCATCTTTTCTTGACTTACTTTTTATATTTTATTATAGCTGTTAGATATTTTACAGTTATATAAGAAGATGACTATATTGTATTCTCTCATTGTTCTCAATGTAACAAAGGAGAAGAAGATTCTCCACGTTGTGGGTGTGAGGTGTGGATGCAAGATGAGGGTGTTTTATCTTCATTGACAACCACACCCACACTCACACCCCACAACCTTTTTTTGTGTTTATCTGACTGGGCAGAGAAGTTGGTGGCTGATGTTTTTTGACCCGACTCACAAACCTGATGCGCTGGATGGGTTGAATGATTCTTTTGGATCCTCGGGTTACCCGACGGTTTGGGATGTGAGTGGGGATGTAGATAATAGGAATGCTCACACCCACACCTACCCACATGAACATCCACCCACACCCACAACCACACCACACGCCCACACCCTACACAAGCATTAGCCAATGTTTATATGTTAGATTGGGAACAAAAATTAATACAAGATCAACAGTCAGATAAGAAATCTATGGAGGGTTAGTTAAAATTGTCCGAGTGATAGTTCTTCCTATTCTTGATGTTTCTATTGTTTTCTTTAGATATATTGATGATGTATTTATGACAACAAACTTAACATTCGATCAAGTCAAAAAAAAGATTGGACAATGCTCATAGAAAAGATTCAAATATTCGCATTTCATATTCCATCCAATCTACGATCTACTTTCTCGATGTCACCGTCAGCAATGAAAATGACCACTTGAAAACATCCATCTTTCAAAAACCAGCCGCTGAACCCTATGTACTACCTTGTACATCAGATCATCCTCGACATGTTTTTCATAATATACCATATGCAGCTCTACTGAGAGATGCACGAATCTGTTCCAATGTTGAAGATTTTGACATGGAACATGTTCTTATCGATCTATCGTTATTACTGAACTAGTATCCACCTTCATTTATTTTCAAGCATTTTCAACGATTTTTCGAATTCAATCGGGCTATACCCATATTAGAACGGCTCGATCCACAAGTATATCAAGAATTACATCAAAACCTACTTCATAAGCCAACAAGAAAGGAAAAACAACTACAAGAGACAACGGAACATACTAATGTACTACCTGAAGTATTACAGAAAAAGAAGCCTTGGGATCCGAATGTCATGTAGACGAAATGTAACTTCGAAAGTTTATCAAGAGTAGCCTTTCGACGTGAGTTTCGTTCATGGTGAAAGAAACATTTTGCACACGAAGGTTCCAGAGTCGAACATGTTTGACTAAAGTTTGGCGTCAGAACCAATCATACTCTCGAAGATATGTTTGTGCAGAAGAAACCACCGTGTCACATGCTGAAACGAAAACCAAATGTAATCGTACAATCTACAGTCCATGAAAGCAACGCACCCACACGAAAACCAAACAGAATATAAGCATGTTGATCACCATATCGTACATCGAAGAAGGCACTAAATTTTTACTTATATAAAAGAATAAACACGAACTTACAGTACTAAACATCTTTTCCTCTTCTTCTTCACATTAGTATTCCATGAAAAAATTCTAACATCTTATTCTGTGTTCTACATATACTGTATTCTACACGAGATATACATCCATCAAAAAAATAACTATTAAACTTATCGGTATCTGAACCATCTTCCGGAAATCACTTGAACAAATAACCAAACAAAATAATTCACTACCAACACACGAACATTCTCTTCTCTAAACAAGATTATTCCGTCATTGCCAAACAACATCAAGCACAACGAAAGCCGAAATCCATAGTAAGTAGCTTGGGATTCTATAAAAACTGAGTTATAAACTTACTAGACTTCAATGTTCAAGTTCAAGTGAACATTAACGAGCCTATGGGGAAAATACTATATCAATAATAATTCAGTAGAAAACAGTGTTCGATTAAAGATTGGCACAAGATTCAATAAGAGGCTTAACCAATCATGTATCAAGAAACAGACACCAAAAGCAGTGTTTACCAAATATAGTATCGAAAGATTCAACAACTAGAACAATGACAAAGATGGACAGTGACTAACATATGTCATGTCATTGTACACATGGATCCACCTAAAGATCTTTGTGCGTCAAAAACTAGACATTTCTTCTATTGACTAATAATCTCTTGTATAATTAACATTTTTTTGTTATGGCTTCATTCTTTCATATGATCATCATCTTCAATTAGGAAAATGCCTATTTCTATAATATTCTAGATATACACTAGTCTATTGAATTTCGTTGAATAATCGTATTTTCAAGAAAGCAAGACCAATCGTCGAATAATTCAATATGAGTTTTATTTCGCCACTGAAACTAACCATTGTAATTATCGAAAATACTTTTATTGCTATTGGATATGTTTTAACATGAGTTTCAATCATAGCCAAATGGGTAACACACCTTCAGAGTCAATCATTACCAGCACTAAAAATGAAATCGATATCGATCAACTACTTTCCATTGGAATTGTAACTGCAAGCCAGTCATCAATACAACTCAACATGACCACTATGCTTCCTAGTCAAATTCGAATCATTCCTAATCAAACTCTAATGCTTACTAATCTTGAGGAAGATGAATTTCGGACGAGAAGACGCGAAGCTCAACGTAGACGTCGTCAACGACAAGCTGAACGACGATGACAGCAGCGAGCAATTCGACAACAGCGGAATAATTAACAACGACCACGTCAACGTCAAGAGAATAGAGATCAACGATATGAGCAGCGGGTATATCACATATATCAAAGCCGATGGAAGCGACAAGAATCACGAGAACGCTTCCATGATATATGGAGAAGACATCCATTCGAAGACTTCATGGATGAAATATTCATCGAGCCGCTGTTAGCACAATATGACTTAGAAACCAATGACCCAAGACATCATCGAGACCAAGAACGCATAAATTTATTGGAAGGCATTGTAGCTTTAGAACAGCTAATCTTAATGCAGGATGAAATGGAACAATTACAACAAATTAACAAGCTCGAACAATGGGATGAAGAAAAACTAAATCAAATGAACGAAATAAAAAGCTGAGAACAACAAAAATTGAATGATTTCGAAAGGCTTCCAACAACAGAGCAAGATCAACTGCCACAAGATGAAATCGAACAATTGCGACAAATCGATACAGTCACAGAAGTACAACGAGAAATATTGCAGCAAATAGACTTAAACAATCAATGAAACCAAGAACAATTGTACCAATTTCAAAGGATTCCTACACCACCGCCACATGACATAATATGGCTGACGCCGACTATCGAAAGCTAATAAGAAAAAAGATATCGACGCCATAAAATACATCGACTATAACCATTGGACTTCTACGAACATACCGGATTTTTATAAACCCATCTAACGAACACTGGACTACTTTTTACAATTTATCACGTTAACTACAACACTCTGATTTTCTAAAAACAATAAAACCACCTCATCTAAACATCAACACCTCTTCCCCGACAAACGAACATATTTTCACCTCTTCTTAACATTTTCAGATCACTTTCGATCCGCATAAAATATACCATCAAAACCAGATGACCCGTCAAACAACTCGCATAAGATCAGTCAGATAACACTAACATAAGTAAACACAACATACAATCTACCACGAATACATCTCTTCACGAATGTATGCGTAATGGTTGCATCAGGACCCACACGAAGCGGCTATGCAACTACCTAGAAAATCGACCATTACAGAGGCCCAAACTATAATCGTAATACTACTTCAAGACACAACAAACCACACCATGAATCTAAAAAAACTCAGCTCCGCAGTTTATCAAATAAAAATAGGAAAAACTCGATCTTTTCAACTTACACTAGAAAATCATACTCTCTTAAAACTACCAGACCAATGACACTTGAGTAAGGTCGAAATCGGTCGTAAGGATGCTTGGTTTCTAAAAAATTCAATTCTATACATACCCACACTCACACCCACACTCTCACTCCACCCCAATATTCAGCAGCCATACAGCTCTATCAAATCATATTGAAGATACACCAAAAATGTATTCCTTTGAATTTTCAAAAGTTAATCACTACCTATAGAAGGATCGCTGAAATCCATTACTATATGAAAGAATATTCTGAACCATTGAGATTATTTCAGAAAATGTTCAGTATTCAATAATATTGTCTTCCTTCAAATTAAATACATACGACTACTATTGAAAACGACATCAGCCAAGTATATGAAAGAATGAAAGAGTATTCGAAAGCATCCAAGCACTGTGGGAACACTCCCAGGTGCTGTCATACAGTTCTCGCGGTCATGCTAGAGTATCACACAAAACGTTGCAGACTTAGCTATTATCTACAATAATACTGCTCGAACGCATATCATTATGAAAGATTATTGGAAAGCACTCAAGTTTCATCAAAAGACATTAGAAATCTTGAACAAATTTTCCTACATCGAAAAACCGGATTTAGCGGCAACATACGACCACATTGATGAAATCTATGTAAGAATATGTGAATACAATAACGCACTCGCTACTCATAGAAATGCAATTCTTACTGCACAGCAATCATTGCCTCAAAATCCTTCTCAGCTGCGATTATACGGTGAACATTTCATGCTAGTGGCAGAAATGTTAAGGTGAGCTCAGCAGCTGGTGGGATGTGAGTGGGTGTCGGTGTGGGTCTGGATGAATTTATTGATTCCACCCACACCAACGCCCTGCATGCACTTTCACGCCCTCTGGCTTTGTTGTAATCGATCCAGTCGGAAGAGAAAAGGTAATATTCTTGATTCGTACAGTCAGCTCTATCTAGTGGAATATGTTTCATATGAAACTTAAACAAAAAATAATTCATGATGGCTAAGGAGCACAACAGGCAGAAAAATGCGAATTGATTTTTATTAGAGCACAAGAATTAAAATTGTTCGTTCATCACTTCTTTGTCCTTTGAATACATCAATGCGGTTCATCATGCTTGGTCAGATGAGGAATAATATTGATCGACAATGGCCGTTTCGTCAAGTTTCGATAGTTTTTGATCATCTCGTCCAATAGTATTGTTCTTCTTCTTAATACCATAAATATCAATTTTATAATTATCTTTATACATGTAATAAATTTGCAGAAAATCAAATAAAAATGAATTGACTGTTCCTACATAGGTACAACCCATGTAAAAATTTATAGGGCCTAAACGCGTTTTCAAGCGCGTCTTAGATGCGTTTGAAACGGTATTATGACGCATCTGAACGCATCTAAAATGAAACATCTGACGCGTCCGAACGCATCTGTCAAATGCATCTGGACGCGTTTCAAAAACGCGTCTGAGCGCGTCTATAGGAGCAATGAAACATCTGACGCGTTCAGATGCGTTGAAAAATCCGGACGCATCCAAACGCATCTAGACGTCTAGTGAAACATCTGATGCTTTCAAACGCATCTGTTGGATTAGACGCGTGTGAACGCGTTCAGAAAAGAGAACGCGCCTGGACGCGTTTCGAAAAAATTCGGAAAAAAAGAATCTTGTTCTCGCAGATTCGAACTGCGGCACCATCAGAACCACTTGATGGTCAGCTCTATCCTAGAGGCATAGTACAGAACAAGTTATATTTAATTTACGACATGTCGATGATAAATGCGATCATCCAGGCTAGAACAGACGAACTTATTAAAGAACAAGCTACTTACGTGTGAGCTATATTTACTCGTAAGAGTTTATTCTAGACGAAGATATCTTTGTAATTGTTTCTAATAACATTTAATTTCAAGACAGAATTCAATCGATTATAAAAATATGCGATTATTTTTGTCTGTTGAATTTTTTTAAATAAAAAACAAACAAATCATTTATCTGGAATTATGCGAAATTAAAATTTTATTTTTTAACTCAGTAAATGTATTCTTATGAAATACTTAACCATAGAAAAAAAAGAAATCAATTTTCTATAAACTAGTGTGGTTTTCTGTTCGTTAGTTAAACTGTGACAGGAGTTCTAAATTTTGTTCTCTTATCAATGAATGAAAATGAAAAAGAACTTTAGAAAAAACGAATCTAGACAGTTATTTAGCTCGCTTGTATTTATACATTTAAAAAAACGCATAAATGAGAGAAAAATTTTATCAAAAAATTCAGATTTAAGTCATCCAAGTGACTTTACAGAAACAAAAGATAAAAACACGTCCCATCATATTTCGCCTAAAACAAGAAAAATATAATAAACTATTGCAATGTAAAATATAAACTCAATATTTCGAAATATAATAATGTGGGACTTAACTTAGCAAATTCTACGTATTGGTATAAAATAAAATACGGCACAACATTCTAATAAACCTATTCATTATAAGTGTGAAGTAAGATCACTTAAATCACATCTAACAACAAAAGTTTGAGACAATTTACAACAATATTCATCGATTTGTATTATGAATTTGGATTAAAAGTCTATAAAAAAGATAAATATTTCTTTTCCTCCTCAAATATAATAATATTTTTTGTCTTTTATAGTACATGGTACTCATTGATTTTGATACAGTATCATTAAAATAATATAATACGTATATGTTTTACCTAGTTTGCGTATGCTTATAGAAGAAAAAATTTATCAGAGCAAAAAAACATTTAATTTCTAAGTAAGCCAACAAAAGGTTTATAATTGGACTACTGTAGTTGACTTACATGACGAATCCAATCAAGAAAAAAAAGACAAATGAAACTAACCAAAAGCAATTAAGGCGAAAATATAATGAGCCTAAAATGATATCAAATACAATCTAATATTGTCAACTACAGCTAGGTGAATAATAGCTAACTATGGAAATATTGTGTATAATCAATACATATTAAAAAAATTAAGTATTGACCGAAGTCGATATAAAACTGAGCTGGATCACAATAATAAAAGCGAATCTATATTTATATTTTGTAAGATCAATAAAATCACATTAATTAAAAAAATTATGCTTTTTTTACTCAGATATACTTGTAATCAGCATCCCATAACTTAGATACCATCCTTCTAGTTTTATCTATAATCTCAAGGAACAAAGGTGAATGCAAAAAGATTCATGTAATTCATGTATATTTAATGCAATACAAAAAGACTAAAACAAAAGCTTGAACAGTTATATATTTATTGATTCGATAACTTTCATATCATAACCTGGCTTGGTGATTATTGTTTTGGTTTAGCTGAATCTTATATCAGCTTTGGTCAAGTTTTTCGGGTATGCAACGACCTAAGTCTATCGAAAGTCTTACTTCAGTAAAATTTTCAGAGATATGTTCTCACAAGCACTTTTCAATATTAGAAGTTTCGGTTGTATGAAAAAAGTCAATCAGCAGAACTTTGGATAAGAGTCTTATCTTAAAAAACCTCCTGTCCAATAGTTATTATTTAATTTCTCTGAATAACCATTCGAAAGCATTTAATTCTAAATCTATACTACAAAAATTCATGCCCGCTTAGCTCCTATTAAAGGAAAAAATAGTTTTCTCAAATAAGCAATTTTTATATCCAAAACAACAAGTTATTTTTATTAAAAAACAGCAATAATGATGTTAGATATTAATCTTACATATACTTTTCTGCAGACTAGTTCAACTAATTATAAGTTAGTGCCGCAGTTATTTCACGAAAGAGACCATAGATCTAAGTA